ATGTGAAGAGCTTATGGTGGTTGATAATATATATAGAGACTACACGTTTCTCAAGCGTAGTTGGCGGGTTTGTTGACTTGAAGCTGAAGATTGGCAAAATCATTTGTTGATATAAAGAGAGAACATTGATGAGGTATCGGCTTTGTCAACCTTCCTTCAGCTCCTCTCTATGCATATGATATAAAGAGAGAACATCGATGAGGTATTGTTTGATTTATTCTCTACTTTGTGTAGTCAAGAAATTGAAGCTGTGTGTCATGCTCTTTAATTGATCTGTATCCCATTTTGCTTCACAAGTGCATATTAACAATTCTAGAATAATCGCTACAACTTATGGACTGTTTGGCTATTTTCTATCCATAACTCAGTTAAATAATCTTATATGGTGAGTTTAATCGCTAGCTGAAGTAGCCCATAGTTTTATGGCTTAGATTAGCTAGTATCTACTGGTTCATAAATAGCTATTTGTTTTATTTGGATTTGTCATCTGAGAAGTGGCTTCTTCTTCTTATCATAGATTCTTAATTGATATTAATTTTGCGCTAGGTCCATAAAACTAAACCATTTCATGTTTTCGCACTAATTTATGCATTTGCTCTAATTGTTCCTTTGAAACAACAGATTCAAAAGGGTTATCTTAAAATATTTTCAGTGAACTCTTTTTCGCATATCAATCATGTTGGATTTATCATCTTTTACCTAAAACAGATATGTGTATGACTCTTAGGTCTTAGTGTAGAGATGATACTGCGAAATCTGTCACGAGAGTGCTTCATCAACGATCCCGGAAACAGCAAAACGGTATTAACCTGTGACCAGTCTTATCATATACTCATACTTCTTTGATGTAATTAAGGTTTTAAAGAAGGTGAATCATACAGAAACATAAGAAGCAAGACGGTGCTGTTAAAGATATTTTATTTAACTACCTCTTGGTAACAAACATGTTAAATATGAATATCCTATGTTTTTCCTTTGCTTAAATTTAGGGTCATGTAGGTGATTATCTTTTTTGAATCAGTAGAAATGATTTTGTTTTGAATCAATGCTCTAAAGGTAATTATTAGTCATCCACTAGTAAGGACTAATTAGTTGGTGTCAATAGTTATGTGTTATTTTGTTTTTGGAGAAACTAGACAAATATACTATTGTCCTTGCCTATATATAAATCATGAAATTAAAAAGATCAAGTGTTGCACTGAGGAACTAATCACCAAACTAGATTTTAATCCGCATTCCGGCTTGTAGAACCAATTCATCTAAAATCGGTAGATGTAATCGGACTGGTAGACCAGCCTACTTGACCAATGTTGAGAATGGAGGTTCTTAATGTATCTTTTATAATTTAAGGTCATTGAGAAAATTGATCAGAACTTTGAGTAAGAGCCTAGTAGTTTAGCTTCGAAGCTCTGGTTATAATCAAACTGTATGTAATTAAATTTTAAAAAATCGCAAAAAGATGTGGTGAGGAGTTAGTAGCAACCCACTCTTTGAGTCAAACTCTGTCCCACACTCTTTCCTTTGTAAGCCTAATACTTCCAAACCTCGCCGTGATTCCTTTTTCCATTTGCTTTTGATTGAAAATTAATTCTATTAAACCATGAAGTCGAAAACTATTAAACTCATACCAAAACAATAAAAAGAAAAAGATAAGATTTTTGCTAACAGACTAATCTGTTTTAGAGCTAATACAATATACTTATTGCCAATCTTTTACTATTTGGGAGGATGAATATGAGATACAACATAGTTATTGCCTAACATCTTTAATCCCAATTATTTTCTTTTTCAAAATAGAGTCTTCGAATAATTATTTTAAACCATGTTCTATTTTCAACAGAGTAAAAAATAAGTTTACTCCAAAATGAAATGGAGTTGGAGTTGGAATTAAATGTAATTCCACTTTAAAGTAAAAATATAGTAATGGGTTGGACATGTTATAAACAGTGATAGAAAATTTTATTATTCAATTTCGATCTAGTTAGTTAGTAGTTACCCTATTTAAACTCTTTTACTCTATTCTGATTTGATAAGTAAGGTTTTAGCTATTCTCTGAAAATAATCAATCATAATACAATCATCTTCTTTAGCTATATCTCTTACGAGTTTTCATCATCTGCATCACCATCAAATCTTAGTTTCTTCGGGTTAGGCTTTCTTCCTTTGTGACCGGGGTCGGTCCGGGCCAAGCGAGCCAAGCCATAAAAAAATTGTTCAATTTTATAACGGATAACAAATTGAATCAATTATTACGGATATTTTAGCAGCCCTAGATTGCAAATGTAGGTTGTAACTTTATAAACCAAAAACACATTGCAAATATTAGAATGTTAATACAAAAAGAGAAAAACATTAGTGCCATTGGGTGGTTCGTAGTAGGTAAAAGAAAGAACCCAAGTCCGCAAAAACGGTGTCGTATCCCCCAAATCGCAACCTCATTCTTTTCTAGACTTTGACCAAAATCCAAAACCACCTAACCAACTTTTATCTGTCTCTCGTTTGTTTCCCACTCTTTGCCTAAACCCCCCTCCCCCAAAAAGGAAAACCAAACGGCCGTTATCACGGCTTGGAAACAGAAGGAGCGTCTTTAACGGTACCGTTACCAATTGTTGTAGTGGCTTTGCTCGTTGACTGGACGGAGAGGTTAGGAGACAAAGGAACGGCGCCGGTATCTTTAACGGCGGGGATCAAAGGGTTACGAGAAGGACACGTGGCGGTTGAGATGGTGGTTGCTAAGGAGATTGGCATGAGACAAAGACCTTTGCCTTGTAGGTATTGCATCGCCGATCCCATATCCTCTTCCATTAGCTTTGCCACTTGGTGCTCCGTCAACTTCGCCGCCGTATGATTCTCGGCGGAGGAAGAGGAGTTGTTTTCGTGGGACCCACCAGCATCCTGCCAAAAATTAAAAGTTTAAAAAAAAATTTGGG